TAGATGAATGGATCAAGAAAATGTGGTATATATACACAATGGAATTCTATGCCTCCATCAGAAAGAATGACATTGCTCCATTTGTTAGGAAATGGAAAGACTTGGAAAAAATTGTATTAAGTGAAGTAAGCCAGGCCCAATGAAACATAGGTCCCATGGTTTCCCTTATTTCCATTATGCCCTTCTTTAATGAAACCCTTTCAGTGGGTCAGAAGTAATAGAAAAATAGTTCTCCCTCTCCAACTCCACTGCAGTTCTTAACCCATGATGGGATGAGTTTATATATGAATACATTAGTAACCTATCCCTGGACAGGATAATTGAGTTAAAGGGCACATCTATTCTGAATAGCAACCTATCATTGGCTGCCTTGATTTCCCTATCTCATCTCTACAGTATTTCTACTTCCAAAATACATGACTTACTTAAATTCTTGTCTCAGGGTTCTTGGAAAACACAAACTTGAAAGGAATGGGATGGAGAACAGAATGTCTCTTATATAGTATGGTTTGTGAAAAAATTTCTTATCTGTATTTCTCTATGTATGTATGTACACATACACACATTTTGACTGTACAAATTGACTATGTTTGACTGGGATCAACCTCAAGAAACTTATTCTTGAATAGTAATTCTAAGTAATCAGGTTTAATTCCTCTTGGATGAATAATAAACCAATTTGCCCTTGACTTCTAGTTACAAATAATCATGTTAGCTCTGATTTAGTGATATCTGTGGACCCTGTGAAGCAGGCCAGGTGTGAAGGAAACTGTCCACTAGAGTCCAGCTTCTCTTTCCTAAACCTGGATTGTCTTTGCCTGTAGCAACTGCTCACTCTCCTCCCTTCCTGAATTCATTCAGTACCCTTGTACCTTTCCCTTACCTTCCTTTGGAAAAAGATGGGAGAGAAATAGTTGGAAGAAAGGCGAATGATGACCTCAATCAGTTATTTTTTTTAAGTTAAAACTATTTTTTGGTGGTACTGAAGTTTGAGCCAGGTTTTGTTAGGAAGCACTGTAGCATTTAAGCCATGTATTCAGCCCTCCAACAGGTACACTTTAGAGTAAGTGTGAGGCTACCAATATATTCTTTTTTTTTTGGTCGGTTGTGTGGCCTGAACTCTGGGCCTGGGCACTGTCCCTCAGCTCTTCAGCTCAGGGCTAGCACTCTGACTTGAACCATAGCGCCACTTCCAGCTTTTTCTGCTTGTGTGGTGCTGAGGAATTGAACCCAGGGCCCCATGCATGCAAGGCAAGCACTCTACCAAGGAGCCACCTTCCCAGCCTCCAATATATTCTTGAACTAGAAATTTGCCTTGATATCTTTAATGTAGAAATTTTCTTCCCTCTTACTTTTTTCTTTCCTACCTTCCTCTCTCCTTTCCTTTCTTTCTTAATTACTGGTATTATTTTTTACATCTCCAAAAAACTTTATCATATAGATGTCAGAAAATTAGAGCAGTGTTTCATCTGGGGGAGGAAAGAGAGGTAGAGGGAGGAAGAATTTAACTTCTTTGGAGAAACTAAACACCTCCAGTTACTGTTTTCTTATGTATAAGATGAGGCTGACTGAGATAGCTGAGATAGTGTGTTATGGGAATTAGCGGAGGTCATGCACCTATAGATAGAACAAGAGGGGTGGCTTATAGGAAGGGCTTTATCAATGAAAATTATGGTGATGGTGGTGGTAGATGTAGAAGTAGAGGTGGTTGTGGTAGTAGTAGTAGGGATGGTAGTGATAGAGGTAGAGGTGGTCTATATGGCCATAGTGGGGGGGAGTGAAGTAGTCATGGTGGTTGGCAGTCATTATAGTATCAGTGGTGGTTGGCAGTCATTATGGTATCGGTGGTAGTTGTGGCCTTAGCAGTGATGATGGTAGCAGCAATGATAGTAGTGTGGGCTGGTGATGAGGTAGCAGACAGTGATGGCAATAGTGGTAGCAGTTGTATTCTGCCTGTAGAGGGAATACCTTGGGGTCAGGCACTAGTGAGAGCTTTGAAGCAAGATTTTTTTTCACTCTGTGTTCTGTCCCCCATTCCCACAAAGTGTTAAGTTGTTCCATAGCACCTTGCAATGATATTACCTATTTAGAACAGCTCTATCTGCTCCTAGTCTAGGCTCTGTATAGTCCCCAGTGCTCATTCTGGGCTGAGCCAAACCTTAGGTCTCAAAGGTATAACCTTGGGAATGAGTTAATCAGAGTATATGCAAGGAGACAGTCACAGTCTGAAAGTGTTTGCTAGTAGCTAGAGTCCCAGAGGCATTTGTAACATGGTAAATAAAAGACAAACTTTAAAATTTCCAGGGAACTCAGCTTATCATTCAAGAGACATATTTCCATATAGGTTTATATGAATCAAAGTGGATGAACTAAATGACATTTGTTTTTAAAATGAGGCCTTGGGGCTGGGAAGGTGGCTCAGTGGTAGAGTGCGTGCCTTGCATGCATGAGGCCCTGGGTTCGATTCCTCAGCACCACATAAGCAAAAAGAAAAAAGTGGGAAGTGGTGCTGTGACTCAAGTGGTAGAGCGCTAGCCTTGAGCTGAAGAGCTGAGGGACAGCGCTCAGGTCCAGAGTTCAGGCCCCAGACTGGACCCAAAAAATAATAATAATAAAAATAAAAATAAAATGAGGCCTCATATGTTGCCCAGCCTGTCCTTGAACTCCTGGGCTCAATTGATTCTCTTGTCTCAGTCTCCTGAGTAGCTGGGGCTATAGGTGTGTACCACTATGCCCAATTTCTGAATGGCATTTTTAATATCTTGGGAACCTCCTGATGAGCAATGCCCCTCCAAAATGACAAAAACATATATCAATTTCCTCAGTGATTTAGAAGCCAACTTATATGAAGGGAATAAACAAATCGTTTAAAATAGGGATACAGGTGGACTCATTGCAACAATGAGATGTATAAGACGTTATGTCGAAAAATGAACTTTACAACTTTGGGGGGACGGGGGAGATGGGAAGGGATGGGAAGGAGAAACAAAGGAGGAAGCAACAATGCTTGATAAGAAATGTACTCATTACCTTGCCCATGTAATTGTAACCCCTCTGTATGGTATTTTCACAATAAAAAAAAAAGTTAACTTGGGCTGGGAAGATGGCTCAGTGGTAGAGCACTTGCCTTGCATGCTTGAGGCCCTGGGTTCGATTCCTCAGCACCACATAAGCAGGGAATAAAAAGCCAGAAGTGGTGCTGTGGCTCAAGTGGTAGAGCGCTAGCCTTGAGCTGAAGAGCTGAGGGACAGCGCCCAAGCCCAGAATTCAGGCCCCATGACTGGACCCCCGCCCCCCCAAAAAAGTTAACTTATATCTGAGATTTTGTCTTTGAAAAAAATCTTACCTTGAGCAAATGCTGTTAAATCATTGTAATAAAAGGAGATATACATATATGCATTTTAATCAGCAGCCAGCATTTTTATCCTATTTAAATTTAAGAGATTTTTTGCAGTCCTTCTTACTGGGTACATAAAGAGGTAGTCAATTAAAAAAAAGCCAAATTCTTATCATGGTCATTCTTATGGATAATCTTGTTGTAAATGAGATTGTATCTCCATCACCCTGCTTCCTGAGCCAGGATCTTCCTATTTGAGACAGCATAGTATGGATCCTGATTCACCAGAAACCATTTAAGATCTCCAAAATCTCCTGTATTTCTACCTCAGTGGTGTGTGTGTGTGTGTGTGTGTGTGAAGGATCTGTAAATCTGACAAACCACTATTAGTGAGTGAAAATGAAAAATTTCTGAAATACTAGTCCTTTGTGAGTTTAGTTAATAATCAGCCTGGGCGTGTTGATTCTGCTTTTCTGTTTCTTCATTGCATAAGAAGGTCAAAGTTGTGGTGGAGTGTCTATTAATATTTAAGAAGGAAAGGCACATTTGAAAGGAGACATTATTTCTTCCAAAGTGACCTCATCTTCTCAAATAAAATTGTGCTATCTTAAATCTTTTGATTCTTTTGTTGGAAAGTTTGAAAAAATAGGGAGAAAAGGTTAGAGACTGAGGGTTTTAAAATAATATTTTCTCCACTAAGAAATAATTTGAAGACTAAAATAACTTTTCTGTAGTTAATGTAACTTTAATTTGAACTCATTCTACTCTGACTCCATAGACTGGCTAGAAATGAAGGAAGAGGGAGGAGTCCAGAACCATTCCTATTTCTCTATTTCTCTCTTTGATCTCTATTGTATGGAACTGGTTGTTTCACTATTGGCTTGCCAGCCCTCAAAGGGAAAAGTCTGCCATGGAATAGATCCAATTATTTGACCAGGGGGCTGGAGGGTTCTCAGGATCTCATGATAAAGCTAATGGGGAGTAGGCTGGTATCAAGGGAAACCACTGGGGAGTAGAGGATGGTGGGGGCAGCCCACTACCCTCAAGCTGGCTGGATGGAAAAAGTACTCTGGAGAAACCACTGTTGTCCCATCTACATGGTCTCATTTCTGGATATCCAGTACCTCATCTGTCAAGTAGGGTTAATAAAAATAAATATTATATTCATGAGTCATATGGGTTTGTTTTTGTTTTAGCAGCACTGGGACTTGAACACCTTGCGCTCTTGAGCCATGGCCCCAGCTCCTTTTGCTTTTTATTTTTCCAGATAGTGTCTTGTGCTTTTTGCTTCAGCTGGTTACGGACCAAGATTCTCCTACCTACACCTCCCATGTAGGAGGATTGCAGATAAGAGCCCCCTGCCTGGCTTAGTGATTGTCTAGGCTGGCCTTAAACTTCTGTTCCCCTGAGAGCTAGAGGACCAAGTGCTTGGGAAGTTTCCAGGGCATCTATCTATGTGTCCCATGCTTCTTCTGTGTGTGAGAGAGAGGGGGAGAGGGGGAGACAGACAGACAGGAGACAGGGAGTACTAAGGATAGAACTCAGAGCCTAGGCACTGTCCCTGAGCTTTTATCCTTAAGGCTAGTGCTCTGCCGTTTGAGCCACAGCTCTATTTCCAGCTTTTTGATGATTAATTGGAGATAAGAGTTCATGGATTTTCCTGCCTGGGCTGGCTTTGAACCGTGATCCTAGATCTCAGCCTTCTGAGTAGACATGAGCCACTAGCTCCCTGCTTGCCCTATTCTCTTTACCTTTGGTTTTAAATTGCTAGCTGTAGGCGACAAGCAGTTCTCTGCTTGAAACAGAGGTTAAAAGTCAGGTAATGAGGTGGGAGTGTGACAAAGGCTGCTGATGGATGTTTTCTCTTCCCTGAAAAGACTAGGTACCACTTTAGGACTTGAAAGGTCTTCCAGCTGAGGATGACTCAGGACCCTTACTCTTGTAACTTATTCTTCCCAAGGAGAGTGTGTTTTCCAGAAACAATAGATGTTGGGTTAAATAAAAACTCCACACTAAGAATGTAATAAGAGGCTGGGTATGGCCATGCATGCCTGTAATCTTAGCATTCAGGAGGCTGAGGTATGAGGATCATGAGTTTAAGGGCAGCCTGGACTGGATTATATAATGAGACTTTGTGTCAGAAAAACAAAAGACAACAAAAAAACCCAAGCAGGGGCTGAGAAGGTGGCTCAGTGGTAGAGCGCTTGCCTTGCATGCATGAGGCCCTGGGTTCGATTCCTCAGCACCACATAAACAAAAAAGAAAAAGGCCGGAAGTGGCGCTCTGGCTCAAGTGGTAGAGCGCTATAGCTCCTTGAGCTGAAGAGCTGAAGGACAGCACCCAGGCCCAGAGTTCAGGCCCCAAGACTGGACCCCCCCCCCAAAAAAAAAAACCCAAGCAACAAGAATGGATAAAAAAGCAGTCAGTTTGTTGTTATTGTTGTTGTTTTCCATAGTGTACCTTATGCCTGCCTGTGAAAGGAACTGCAAATTCTTCTAGTGATGAAAATACCTTAACTATGACTGGCTTACTGTCTTTCTTAGGCTATTTTGTCTTCTATAACAGCATCTCACCAACTAGTCACTAATAAATAACAGACATTTACTTCTCACAGTTCTGGAATCTGGGAAGTTCAACATCAAGGCACTGGCCCATTTCCTGGCTCATAGATGGTGACTGCTTGCTGACAACTTGTTTTGTGGAGAGGGTTATAAAGCTCCCATGAGACTGTTTGAGAAGGGCACTATCCAATTCCTCATGATATAATAGCTTCTCAAAGCCTTGGGGGAATGAGGATTTCAGTGTATGAAGTTCTCAGGGGATGTAGATATTGAGACCATAGCACCTTCTAATACTCACATTTCTTGCCTGTGCTAGGCACAGTGGCTCATGCCTGTTATCCTAGCTATTATGGATGGAGGAATGAAAGCCTGGGTAAAAAAGTTAGCGAAACCCCATTTCAATCAACAAGCCAGTATGGTGATGCTAACTAAAGACAAAAGCACTTAGGGTGTTAATCAAGTAGTAGAGTGCCTACCTACTACATTCTAACTGTTCTACCACTGCGGGTAAGGAGGTGGATGCCATGGGCCTTTAGAGGGCCAGGTCATGCTGGCCAGTTTTTTCAGGGGCAGTGCACTAGTGGGCGGTGTATCTAGAGACCACCATGGAGTTCCCAAAGGGTTTTATAGGGTAAATCACAGAGAAAAGCTGGACTGTTGGAATTAACATTCTTTGCTATTATAAAATATCCCGTTAAACTTTTTTAAAAAATATCAGATTAGGGAATATAATCTCTTTTACTACTTGTATCATAAATCAATTAACTTATTCATTGTGCTGTTCACCACACAACTGCTCATAAGTGAGAGGTAGGAAATGGTGAGTACAGCAGAAAACCAAGAATTCCTGTGAAGTAACTGGTGCTTTCATTTCATGAAGGCATTAACATTGATGTATTGATGTTCACACTTTAATATGACACTGGGAGCATTCAGCACAGCATGTTCCCATGTTAGCATTTAGTTCCTGTTTACTTGAACAATGAAGCACACTTTAATTAGAGCACCACTTCCAGTTTTCTGGTGGTTTATTAGAGGTAAGAGTCTCATGGACTTTCCTGCCTGGGTTTGAAATGTGATCCTCAGATCTCAGCCACCTGAGTAGCTAGGATTACAGGAATGAGCCATTGGTGCACTGCCCAGCTTTTCTTTTAAAGTATTGATTCACTCAGAGAGAGAGAGAGAGAGAGAGAGAGAGAGAGAGAGAGAGAGAGAGAGAGGAAGAGAGAAAGGAAGGAAAGAAGGGAAGGAAGGAAGGAAGGAAAGTAGGGTAGGAAGGAAGGAAGGAAGGAAGAAGGAAGGAAAAAAGAAAAAGAAGAAAGGAGGAAAAAAAGAAAGGACTATGTAGCTGAGGCTAGCTTCAAACTTGTATACCTGTTTTTGCCTTGGGTTATTCTCTCTTTCCCCCCTTTCTCTCTCCCTCTATCTCTTTCTCTCATGCTGGGAAAGGAACCTAGGGTCTCAAGCATGCTAGGCAAGCACTCAACTTGTGAGCTTCAAGCCATGCTAAGCAAGCATTCTACCAGTGAATCATATCCCCAGCTTGCTGCCCCCCTTTTACAGAGAATACTCTTTAGAGACATTCATTGTGCAAAGATTTCATGTTATCTATTCTTGGAATTTTTCATGTGCCTATTTCCTGGTTCTTCATAATAAGGATTTACAGCTTAAAGATCAGAAAGGAAAGGTTTTAGACAGTGTCCTAAAATAGATTAATTTTTTTCCACAAAACTATCTCCTGGTGCTTCTAAAACTTATTTTAAGCATTTTGGAAAGGAAATATATTTTAAAAGTCTTCAAAACCTATAACATTCCATTTTTGAATAGTCTTTAACTTGAAATGGTAAGATTCAATTCTGTAGTTGGCAGGTATCCTTCCAGCAGATGAATATGTGATTTAAAAGAAAGTAAATCTGCTTGACTTAAATTGTCCAGAAATTTAAAAGAATGCTTCATTTGAGGGATGGAGTGATTTCAAAAAGTCACTTATTTCTTTAATTAAATGTTCTTGCAAAATAAATATAAAAGCTTTTTTTAAAAAACAAAACCAGGAAACAGAACTATCACGTAATTTTAAATAGTACCCAGAACAAAGAAACATAACTTCTATTTCCCCAAAGAAGAGAAAAATCTATAAATAGACACACTGAGAAACCCTGGGGAAGCCCCAGGAATAATTCAACAAATTATTACCATTACCTTTTCTAGATCTGGCCATTCTTTTGGAAGAATATGACTATGGATGTCAATTTTCATCTCCAGAGGATCAGAGGAGACACGTGTAAGAAAAAGAAATAAATTTTGATATCAGGAGATCTCCATGAAAACCATGGAATGAATTGATTTGCTCAGTGCCTTTTATGACTACATTCAGGTACCAGTCAAGAGGCCTGGCCAGCCCAGTCTCAATCCATTGAACTGCCCTATTAAAGTTCAAAATTCTGTTTATCCACTTGGCTCTGAGTCAATATTCTTTAGTAATCAGGATTTAGCACAAAATTTAAAATGAAACCACAACACAGAATTAGACCCAACCTCTGAGACCAAAAGTACAGCAGGCTGTGTTGTTGACCTTCTAGCAGCAGGAAAAAAATGCCAAACTTTGTACTTAAGTGTTTTTACTTCATAAGATATATGTAGTTACAATTATACATTACGTGACTAAAATGAAGTAATAAAGAAGACTCTTAAAGAAAAGTGACAGATTGCTGACTCACCTCATTTTATACTTAGTTTTATTCCTCAGATAAACCAGTTTTACTGTTTTTGCTTTTATCTTTAAATAATATTTAACAATTGGCTTGTTTATGAAAATGTAGCATGTTGAAAAAGTGGTAGATCAAATTCATATTTACTTTTAAATCATAGAGAGGGTTCACTTTTCATATTATGTTTTTCCTTTATTACCTTTGTTTTGCTTTCTCATTCTGTCATTCACACATGCACGCATTCAACAAACATTCATCAGGAACTACCATGTGCTGAAGATATAGGGTTGAATGAGAGGTGATATACATCCTATAATTGATCACTGTAAATAGCTTATGTGTAGGGAAAGAAGACAAGAGCCATTGGAATTGATGATTGCCTGGTTAGTTGGGAAGACTTCCACAGGGGCATGAAGTGGGGTTCATAGACATACTTGTAAGGAGAACCTGCAACAAAGCTGTTTTTTTAATTATTATTTTGTGTTTATTTTTTTTCGCTTCCTGGAAAGTTTAAAGTATTCCAGGAAACTCAGGGTCCCTAGCAAAACCTTAAGCCTGCTTTGAGATGTTATCTTTAGTTCTGCCTTTAAAATATAGGACTAAATAGTCAAAAAGCCTTGTGGCTGTTATGGAACTAGATTGGGGATAAATTATAACAGATATAATTGTAAATAAATGATGCTCAGTTTGAAAGAAAATAAGTAAACTTTTAAATTCCATGGTTTCGAAAGTCCAATGAGCTGAAACACAATCTGTGAACCGTACATGAGTCTAAAACACAACGAGGATTGGTGTCAGCACTTTCAGAGCAGTTTCATGGGCCAGGCCCTGTTCTAAGCACTTCAACCTTATCGATTCATACTGCTCAGACAGCATTTCATAGAGGACATTGGAACACAAAAAAGTTAAGTCACTTGTCCATGGTCATGCAATTTGTATGTGAGTAAAGCCTGACACTGAATCCTGGAGATTCCCCCAGGGGAATGAGAGAACCTATCTACATAGCTGAAACTACCTCATTAGGGAGCTGGGTGCTGATGGCTCACACCTGTAATCTTAGCTACTCAGGAGGTTGAGATCTGAAGATCAAGGTTTGAAGCCAGCTTGAGCAGGAAAGTCTGTGAAATACTCATCTCCAAATAGCCATCTGTGGCTCAGGTGGTAGAGTGCCATCCTTAAGCAATAAAGCTAAGGCACAGCACCCAGGCCCTGAGTTCAAGCCCCAGTACGGGCACAAAAAATTTTTAAAAAGCAAATAAAAATAAAAATGCCTTCATTAAACTAATAAAAATAAAGAATCTTTTATATTCTTAGAAAAAAAATCCAGTAGTCACATCAGCTTCTCCACTATGAGAAAAAGAAGCAGAAAAGGAAGAGAAGGAATAATTGTTTCTCTGAGAGTTTGAGGATTTACTCTCCAAGGCCAACCACTGAAAATTTAAAGTAGAACCAAATCAGCAATGCTCATTGACTCCTTCCCTGCTTTCTAGAGAAAGCATAGCTGCTCAGTCTCCTCAGTATCTCCATAGAATAAGACAATAAAATATTTGCTCACAACCAAAAATTCTATACACATAAGGAATAAAAGCTACTGTGAGAGTCACAGAAATATAAATAGAAGATCTAAATCTCCAAAGACATAGCTACTGTAATCATTAAGCAAAATAGTTTATTACGTATGAATTTTTTTTTTGTCAGTGGTGGGGCTTGAACTCTGGGTCTGGGCGCTGTCCCTCAGCTCTTCAGCGCTCTACCACTTGAGCCACAGCACCACTTCCAGCTTTTTTTTTCTGCTTATGTGGTGCTGAGGAATCGAACCCAGGGCCTCATGCATGCAAGGCAAGCGCTCTCCCACTGAGCCACCTTCCCAGCCCTGTATTAAATTTTTAAAGGAATAAAAATAATTTAAAATATGATTGACCAACTTGGAAAAAGGCCTAAATCAAAATTTCAGACATGAGTCCAAAATAAATAGCATAGATGGTTTAAATACCTAACAAGGCATAGCTGAAGAGAGAATTACTGAACTGGATGAGAGGCTTTTACGCAGATGAGGGGGTTGAGCACATATCAGAGACTCACAGAGTGCAAAGGATAGAATAAGAACCTTTAAAATGAAACTCAGTGGAATGCTAAAAGAGATGTTGGCAGACAGCTATTCTGGGAAAAATAGCTAAGAATGTTCCAGATTTGGTGAGCTAGCATATTCAGCAAACAAAACCTGTATCAAGAAGGATCAACAAGCAGGGTGCTGGTGGCTCACACTTGTAATCCTAGCTACTGAGTAGGATCGTGGTTCAGCCCAGATAGGAAATTCCATGAGACTCTTAACTCCCATTAGTAGTGGAAACTACTAGGAAGTAGTGTTGTGGCTCAAAGTGATAGAGCACTAGCTTTGAACATAAAAGCTTAGGGACAGATTCAAGGCTGAATTCAAGCCCTGTGACCTGTCCCTCCCCACCCTCACCCCTCAAAAAAGGAAGTATCGGCAAAAGAAAATCCATTACTAATAATTTTGTAATGATGTGTATTATGACTTCTGCATTTTCTAAGACAACAGTTTCTATTATGCTCTTCACTCCCTTTTGAGTCTTCATTATTCAAGGCAATGCAGGATTTTCATATTAGGCACTCAGGCAATTTTAGGGTTAAAGAGGATAATATATAATAAATGGTCAAATACTTCCCGTTTTAAATAACAAATTACCCTAGATATATAATATATGTGTGTGTATGTGTGTGTAAATGTATGACAAATCTTCCAACATATAGCTCTCTATTACTGAAAAACCAATCAAATGCAAATCATCTCTGGGGAGCTGAAGATAAGAGCTCCAATACTGGAAATCCACAAAAGCACCTCAAAAACATTTCAGAAGACAACGGGGAGACCCTGGTGGGTCCACAGAACTCTTACTATCAGGGCCAGCCAAGTGACAACTTTCCTCCAGCCCTAACATTTTTTCCTCTCCATGCTTTGACCTGGCAGAGAAAGAGATCAAGTTCCAGGAGGAGAAATGCGAGTCAGGGAAGAAGAAAGAATCACTTCCTATCTTTGTGGAGAAAATCCTAATTTTCCAAAGATACTATTTATATCCCATTGAACATTTCTGGTTTCTGAACTGACATTAAGCTTACAATTTAAGCCAACTGTAGGAACTTTTGGAGTCAAACATATTTTGGACACTGCAGGTTTTCATCGAGAGGAAAAGAAAGACTATCTTCACTAATGGAAGGGCAAGTGGCAGATTTAACAAGTTGTGCAGATATTTCCAACCTGTGTCCAATGAGGCAATAGCAGATGAGAAGAGCAGAGCTTTCATTGTGCTCAGAGACCAACATTCTGGGCTAAATGAAGGAGAGGTTAATTATAGGGTCCTTAAAAGCAGACAAAAAATACCATTTTAGTTTCCACTGCAACACCAAATAAAATGAAAACAAAAGGGAAAACTGTTATAAGAATTTATCTCCCCATTTAAAAATGATGATGATAGGCTTTGTACTAGGCTTTATCGTGAAAAGGCGGGAAATTCGTAAATTGTTCAGTAGTTGGATTTTGTGAAAATGAAAAAATAGTTTAAACCAAGCCAGAGTAGCAACTTTCTCTTAATCCCAATCTAATGGATATGAACCAGCTCAGATACCAGGGTTAGACTTCTGCTTCTACTGCTTATTAGTTGGATGGCCCTGGGCAAATACTGTCTATAAAATCAAGTGATAATAGAAAAACTGGGTTGTATTAAGCATTGACTTGAATCATATGAAAATTTTAGCTATGAATTATACTATGATACATAATCTGTTTTTAGGGTTATCCTACATAAAGACTGGCAAGCAATTTAATATCAATCAATTGAAGGGACCTTTATACCCCCTTTCCTGGATTATATAAAAATCTCTGCTTTGAGGGTATGGCTCAAATGGCAGATTCTTACTTACCAACTTTGTCTCTGAATTCAATATCTAGTACTGAAAGAAAAATTTATTTGCAGAATGTAGTAGTGCATGCATATAATCCTAGAACTTGTGTGGGTATTGGCCTGGGGTACATAGTGAGACTCTGTCGTGAGAAAAAAAGAAGAATGTGTACTTAAGAAATATATTCTTTTAAAAAATCGTTACTATAAAGTGATGTAAAGAGGGGTTACAATTATGTAAGTCAGGTAGAAAGTACATTTCTTTTTTTTATTGTGAAAATACTGTACAGAGGGGTTACAATTACATGGGCAAGATAATGAGTACATTTCTTATCAAGCATTGTAGCCTCCTCCTTTGTTTCCCCTTCCCATCCCTTCCCATTCTCCCCCGCCCCCCGCCCCCCCACAGAAAGTACATTTCTTTTTGGATAATATCATCCTTCCCTCTCTTGTCCCTCTCTCTCTTTTTTATTTAAAATACATTCTCAGGAATATGAGGTTGAGGCATCCCCTCTGTGGGAGTCAATATGATCATGTTTTTCCTTGACCAAGCCTGTGTATTCTGAATGGACCATTTCTGAAAGTGCCCATTTGTGTTTCCTCTCTTCAGGAAAAACATATCCAAGCCATGGCCAAGGCATATCCATATCCAAGTCACACTCTTGCGTCGTTTCTTTCTCAGTCCTCCTTCTTGCAATCAGTAAATTATCCAATCATGTTATTCTAATCACCATTTCATTTGAATCCCTCTCTCAAGTCTGA